TATTTTCGGAAACCCCCAAATCACAAGCCGGGTCACCAGCTGCGGCTTCGGCACCAAGGCCTCGGCAGGCGATCCTGACAGCAGGGCCAGGCGGCCATGCTCGATTCTTCCCACGTAGTCTTGTTTCTGCCGAACACGGTTTAGGGTTTTGGGGTTTAAATTTTTTTTTGCCTCCTACTTAGCAGGTTTAGGGTTCTGCCAATACGTCTGTCCAAAAGAGATCTGACGGTGGCAAAGGGCCTGGATCTTCTGCACGCGAAGGCCCGGAGCTGGCGCCTGAGGCTCAAACCATCAGGGATTGAGACGCCGAGGTCTGGCCGAGCTTATACGGCTTGTACAAGGGATCTCCGATTCGCATGTGAAGCAAGCTGTGGCTTGGCCTTGCTTTTGGGGCACTGCTGCTGTTTCCTGCAACAGATTGTCTGTTGTCTCGGTTGGTGTCCACCCCAAAGGCAAAGATAGGGAGGGAGTCCCCACTCCAGGTAGCATTGCGCCGGACTTTTCGGTTTAAGCCTCAGCCAAACCTACACGGGCCGTGTCTCGGCTGGATCTTGCCACTTACATTACACAAAGCGGGCTCCATCCTTAGGGATTCTAAGTCGCCGCTCTGATTTGAAACTCTTCCCCTGCCCTCGCCACCGTCATGCTGCCAACGTGCAGAGCGAATTGAAAGTTTGGCTGATGGAGTGCTGAGGCTGCAACTTGGCAAAGGCGGCAATGCAGGAGCATCAGCTGCCACGACCAACGTCGACGCCTCACAGGATGCTCTCAGCAAAGGCCCTGATGGCAGACGTACGAAAGTTCAAAAGTGCCTCCGGCTTGGCCGGCGCGGCTTCGGCCTTGTCTGGGGACGCGCTTGGCCTGCGAGCTCTACTTTGGTCCTTGCTGATCCTTGCTGCGCGACATGTCTGCCCACAAAATGCAAATTGATTCAATGCCGCACAGTAGTTCTGAATGTTTCGTCTTCTGCTCTGCTGGTCTCTGCTGCACTGGGACAGGATGCAGATAACGGGTGCCCCGCCACAACTCACATTTCCGTCTTCAGCTAGACTATGCCCGGGGAATAGGGGGGGGGGGGGGGGCGCATTGTGCATTGCACCGCTGAAGGTCGCAAGAATGATTTGACAGACAGGGTTTCAATAAAACAATAAAACTTGGCTGCGGGTTGTAGTTGATGCTTTTGAAGGGCTGCCAGCATCGCCTTCCTGTCGCCTGGTGAGTTGCCAATTTGCCTCTGTGCTCCTTACGCCCCGTTGTAATGTCGATATCCTTCATCCAGAATCAGAAGATTCCGGGACCTTAGGAGATAAGACCAGCGGCCGGCGTTAGCAGTCCAACAAAAGGAGATGGGAGAGAAGAGCGCCAAGCGAGGTGACTGCATTCGTTTCGCACCAGCCCGTATCTCTACCTTTTCACACAATAACAAACGGAGCTTACCTGAAAATTCCTCCTGAGAAACAACTTCGGACAAGGGAAACCTACTTCATGGAGTGAGCGGGAAAAGCCGTGGACTTAAGGCCCGTGCTCATCACTTTCTGGAGCCGGTGCCACTCTGGATGACACCGCAGCCTCCACGTCTGGTGTTGCCTGTGCATCTGCACGCGTGACGGCCGTCCGAGAGCACACGCGAAGCTTCTGTCCGACAGGCCTTGTCCTTCTTCCCCTCGGACTTCTTCATATTTACATAGGCCAGCCCACCCATACACATCAAGAACACGATGATGGCAACTGGCAGGAATGTCTCGATGCAGGCTCGGACAGCAAACTAACCTCATCGCCCTCCCCCCGCCTATGATCAGGGCCACGCTCGGCGGCTCTTCCACCACCGGCACGAGTTCAAGTCTGTAAACCACGGTTGCGGCGATGAGTTCTGCTGCACTGGGATCCGCTGCACACTTTAGCGTTCCCTTGGCTCTGAGAATCGGTTGCGCACAGCCAATGCATGCAACATCTTCCGCTGTTGGAAAAGGAACGACGCTCGCGCAGGCAAGCTGCAGGAAGTGAATCAGAAATCTGCCGCCAAAGCCCATCTGTTGTCCATTGCTCTGCAACCGCATCGAAAACAATGCAGGCAGGCTTGTAAGCATACCTGAGAATCTGCGACAGAGAAAAGAGCAGCGGAACGAAGAGCGGTGGCGAGGCTTTTGCATCTAAGACGCCCTTCCAAAGCAGGCTCCGTTGGGAACTCGGGCAGGGGCAAGTCCAGCACAATCCGACCTCCGGCGAGGCTCCCAGCCGCACAACGTTCGCAGTTGCAGTACCAAGCGGGCAGCGACGAAGCCGAAGAATCCGGCACACACGGTCGAAAGATGCCTGAGATGTTGAAGGGCGAACCACACCGTCGCATCTCAATCCTTGGTTCATGGAAAGGCACAAGAAGCACCTCCGAATGTGCTGTCTTCTTTCAGTCACCTCGCTGGTAGGGGCGCATCCGAGATGTGGTCATGAGAACAGGCTTTTGCCACCTTGCCCTTCTGTTCAGAACAAGGCCGTGGATTCACATCTGACTGGAAAAGAGCTCGTACATCCATGAAGGGTTTCTGTTTGCGCATACGGCCGTGAGCTCGGAATTCCACGTCTTGGCCGTCTTGGGCTTGAAGATGGGCAACCAGACTCTGGCACGGAAACTTCTGTGCCAACACATGTATGGGGTCGGAGACTTGGATGCGGAAGCAGATTGTCAGGAGGGGTCGAAGCGGTGCCGAGCCAAACTGTCCCTGGCTTCGGGCAACCTGACAGCCTCAATATCAAAGACACTCAATCCGATGCTATGGTCAGGACCCAAGCTGTACAATGTCCAGTCATGTGGTCCCTAGCCATGAAAGCCACACCCCACTAAAGACATCGACAGATGCGATTTCACATGCGGCTGCATGAGACACTTGGCACCCGCTGTTGGCAATCGATGGTACGGTCTCTATCCCTAGGCGAGGTGCTGAACCTCCGAGACAAACCCGAACCTTTCTCACCAACCTTTCCTGCATAACGAAGGCCGACTCACTCTCCATCTGAGACGAGGCACACATGCACATCTGTCAGGTTCCTGAGTTCGGAAATACTGGCGACAAGCTCATGCATGACTCATGCCTGTGGCAACTGCAAAATCGAATGCAGAATCGTCAAACTGCTTAATTCAGATGAAGAGAGTCGTGACATCGGCACCCACTCCCTCTGTCGAAACGTTCGGCCACGCATATGGGTTACCTGATAGAAGCAGTGAAACAAGTGGACTGAAAAGGCAAGCGGCTAGGTACCGTGCAGTGCAGGACCAAAATCAGAAAAGGAACTTTGCCGCCATGTAGTGACTTGGCCGGTAACGGTCCCGCATCCCGCCTGGCAAAGCCAATAAGACGAACACTGCTATTGCTGCTGGTGCTAAAACTGCGCAAAGCGGCTACGAGGACGACGACGACCACCCCCCAATCACCGCACCGGCGACGACGACGACACCCACCACGACAAGCAGCAGCAGCAGCAGCAGCAGCAGCAGCAGCAGCAGCAGCGTCACCAGACTGTACTTGACGGCATTGCTATGATCTGATGCTGGCGACAGAGTGGAGGGTGCCTGACCGTCAATCTCCGAAAGTGGGACCGTGCTGAGTCCTGCGAGGGCATGACGAGGCTTTGAAGACCCTCCGCTTCCCGATTCCAAAGTCCTCCCACGGACATGCCCTGACGCATGGCATCGTGGAGGCTGACCTCTCTGACGGCGACCTCCAGCCCTCGGATCTGTAGCCGTGGTCAGGCTGACTTCTGCAGCATCACGAACAGACTTATAGATGTCTTTCCCTACAGCCGCAATGTCAAGACGGTCTTCTAACTTCTTGGCGCAAGCCTGTCTGATTATGGAGTGGGCGCAGAGGCACAGAACACAGAACCACGTATGTCAGCATCTGTTGGGATGTAGCTTTCATGCTTGACCTTCTTTCGTTGCAGGTGCCCATTCCCGAAATTTGTGTGTGAAGAATTCGTGATTGGGCGAAACATGCAGCCGTCAACCCCGCGTACAATGGCCAAGAGCCTGGACTTCCACACCCTGAGCCTGAGCCGAAGCGCCTTTCCCGTCTGAGAGGTGGTCCAGGGAGTGGACCCGTTTCTCACTTGAGCCGGGGACAGCAACCAGCACTGCATCGCCGAACTTGGCCACAAGCTCTCGCAACTCGTCCGTGCGAAGCCACGCCTAGCATGCAACGCTGCGCCCCTGACGGAGCGACCGCTAGAGCCCACCCACCTCTTCGTCGTAGACGATCTTGATCAGCAGCACTGCCTCCAAGAGATAATCCAGACCACTTGTCGGTGACGCGATCGATGCCTCCCGGCTTCTCGAACAGGCTTGTGCGAACCACCGGGCAATCTGCCCTTTGTTGGCTACAGTGGCGGTTGTTCATGCCAGAGGACATTTCGGGTAAGCGATGCCAAGGGGCAAACAGAGCCGCCAGAAACTGGGAAACACGTGCAGCGGCAACGGGTACAGCTTCCTTCAGCAGCTCCACAACCTCGGCGAGACCGGACGTCATGTCACGACCCCCTCCCGTGTGCCGCCCAAGCTTAGTGCGTCGAGGTGCAACAGCGTTGACCTGCGACAGCACCAAGTCGGACCTGGGAAAGAAGCCGGGCAACGAAGGATACAACGCGAGCAGATCCGCGCAGCCACTTAGTTAAGCAGAGACCATGAGCGAGTCTTGTATAAAGCTTATGCCGCTTACGCCTTCTACCCCTTTGCAGCACAAAGAGCGTATCCAAGGTCGCCAAGGCGGCGAGTAGCGCTGTGACCTGAGGGAAGCTGCCTGATTCTGGCCCTCGGCTCCCTGTTTGACCTGGCCTCCTCGCTAAGGTCATCCGACTTGGCGAACGCCGACGCGGCCAGTGTGTTCAGAATGGTCTGAGCGTCGCCAAGTCGTAGTGCAGAGTTGAGGGCCACGGCAGCCACCGAAGCAGCATTGCTTGGAACCTGAACCAAGGGGCCCATGAGCCAGGCACTGGAGACCTGAGTGGCAAGATGTGGCAAGGCACGGCTTCAAGCAAGGAAGCGACTTAGTCCGGAACCGCTCCAAGCCCATCCTCCGCCGCTACACCAAGCATGTGCTCCCCTGGTGGGAGCGATAGCCGCAGGGAAGAGACATCGGATGCCTGTGCCAGGAAGATGCCCCCCAGCTTGCTCCAGAAGTTCGGGCTGCTCTTGTTGCGCCAGTCGACAGAAGGCCGGCTCCAGGCACCGCTGACCGCAAAACCTCGAAAAATCGCGCGCGAGCTCTGTCTCTGGTTTCTTAAACCCACTCAGGCAGTCGTCGAAGTAGGTTTTGGGTTCAGGGTTTAGGGACTTCCATGACTCCAGTTTTTCCTGTTCCTGCTTGATTATGAGGTGGCATGCTGCGAAGGTCTTCAAAAGTAAAGCTTGCCTTTGCTTCTTCAAGCTGGGACGAAAATAACAGGAAAGAAAGCAGGGCCGACGCTGTTCTCTTCCAAGGAACTGCCTGAATTGGCGACCAAACTCACATCAGCCGGCAGGGGAAAACGATAGAACCTGTAGACTAAGCCTGAGAGTGGGAGGTCTTCGTCGAACCAACCCGATGTGGCAAGAAGGAACTCCGTTTCAATTCCAGTCCCAACGCTTGGCTGGGTTGTTATGTATCCGCCGGTGGGGGCACCATCTGCGACGAAGGGCACCGAGCGCGCAAACCGCAAGCCCCTTGTTGCTGCCTCGGCCAAGTCGGCCGAGGACTGGGCCGAAGACTCGATGAGCGCCACTGCGTAGACGTCTCCGGGCACCAAGAAACCCGAGGCCGGGAGTGGTCCCCCTGCTACAGAGATCTCCCCCGGAAGGGTCAAATTCCTGACGCTGGTATCCAAATACAGCAAGATCTTGAAGGGGCTGACGTCGGAGACCAAGGCCCAAACCCATTCCACATCAGCAGACATGCCACAAGCGTCGCCGACCAGGACTGTGGCCGTGAACTCCGGAACCTCGCCCAGCAGCTGTCCCGAGACCGGCTGATTGGCGTACCACGGCACGGACACAGTAATTGGCACCGCAGATGCCGGCAAGACCTGCACCATCCAAGAGGCAATCTCAAAAGCTGCACGGTCGCTGGCCCGAATTACCGTGACGTTGAAGGTGTAAAGGTCTTCTACCAGCTGCCCCGCTGAGATCCGCAGAGCTGCGCCCGATGCGCCCGAACCGTCGGTGTTCGTCCAGGTGACCGTGCGGAAGTTGGAAAGCGAATGGCAATTGAAGGCCGTGTTGTTAGCAGCACATGACCAGAAGTACTGCGGTTCGCTTTCGTGATCTGGGTCGAAAGACTGCGATGCATCCAGAACCTTACCAGAAATTCTTCTCACAGCCGTGTGCACGAAAGGTGAAGCTGCTACTGCACCTTCTGGCCCACTACAGAAGCAGACATGTTCTGCATGCCACCCAAAGCACAAGCTCGCAGGTTTCGGGCAGAAGTGATGGCCCAGTTACGACGGGCACCATTGGTGCAGCCGCTGCGACGTCAAGCTGAAACACCTGGGTGTCGAAAGACGTCACATCCGGGACAACACGGTCTTGCCGGACACCCTGTGCGATGCTCGACGCTGCAAGACCAACTAGGAAAAGCATTATCGAAGAGCCATGCAGCATGCTGCCGCACTTGCGTTGGGCTAAAGGCCGCATTGACGCGAAGCTGGTGCGAGGAGCCCGGCGGAAAGCTGAAGGGAGCAAAGCGGAGCATCCAAGGAGTTATGAGGCTCTCCTGGAGCGAAGCCTGGCACCAACCCGAGAGTCCGAGAGCAACCCAAACTTCGGCTTAAAGGCTTCAAAGTCCCTTCTCAAACAGGCCAGGCCACGTTCTCCAGGGAGAGCCATGGGCCGGAGCCAGACCGATAGTCCCAGCTAATGCTCACGGTCGCCGAAGAAGCCTCAGGGTGAACACCGTGAACCCCCCGAAACGCAGTGTTAACATGTCCTGGCACTTCGACTCTGTCACGCCCTTGCGGCCAACAAGCTGCAGTGCAGTTCGCTGCCTGCGCGTACCTGACAAGATCGCCAATCTCAGAAGCTCTGAGCCTCTCGAGGGCTCTTATTCGCTGACGGAGGCCTCGCCAAAACATTGAAGGTGACGGACTGGTTGGTGCGGATGGACTTGCTGGGCGAAGCCTCTAGGACTGGGAGCTGCACCTCTGACAGATCAACCTCCAGAGTCGCCTCAGTGGCGATGGCACAGCACAGCGCCCTTGTCATTCGAAGCCCTCCTTGGCCGAGTCACCGAAGTCTCACTCGTGAGGCCAAGCCAGTTCGTGACGGTGAGTACCAGTTCGACATGCACCATAGTGAGCGAAGCATTCGCCGCCACAGCGGCATCGACAGCACTGGCGATGCTCGTCGCTGGCAGCGTAAAGCTTAAGGTCCCATTCTGCGCTGCCAACAGGTCCTGGCAAGGCTAAGTTTAGGACAAGAATGTAGCTGAAACCATCGGCATCAGCAAACCCTGTGGTGGGCGGGGGACTGACGACCAAGCCAGTCCAAACCTCACAATTTTTTCCCTCCCGCCTGGCTAGGACGAACCTACGATGCAGGGTCTCACAATGGGAAAGTTCTCATCCTGGCTCTCAAGTGATGTCCTGGATCACCTGTCCGGCTTGAAGCTGACTGCCTGCACCAGTTCGCCACTCCGCTTGAAGCAACCGCCCAGCACCGCCGCTGGAGAGGGAAGCATCCACCGCTACATCCACTAGGCCACAGCGCTGCACCTCAAGAGCCAGCCGACTTTTAACCACTGCGCTGAAGCCGGCTACGTTCATGAATGTGCCAGGTGCAACCATGAACCTGTGCCGGCAACAGCTTCAGTGATGCCACAGCTTCTGGCTGGTCCGACGAGTTGACCGTTGCCTGCAGCGCCTCAAACTCAGTTCATCACTGGTAAACAGCCAGCAACCTCAAACAACTCTTGTCCAAGGCGCTGATCCCACAGCAGGAAGCTCGATCGTGTCGCCCAGCTCCAGCGTGGGTTGGTGCCCCAGCATCACCTGCACGGGATTACAGCTGCGCGGCCAAACAACCACAGGACGCCTCTGGCAATGGTGCCTGAAACGCCAGGCCACCCAATAGCCACCGACACTGTGGTGAAGTGCCCATCCTGCATGAACTCTAGGCCAATGGAAGATGCAATTTCTGCACCCGTGACTGCCACGATGCTGCAACCAAAAGTCTTCTGCAATGATGTTCCAGGCAGCACAGCATCGCAGTCAGAAAAAGCGGAGACATTAACCTTGCAGAAAAAGACTGAAAGATGCCGGGAATAAACTCAAGTGCGGATAATCTTCACCACAGACATGTCAACTCGAATGCGAGTTGTCCAATCAATAGCTTCGGCTCTCCAGGGATCCAATTCTTGGTCCCAGTGACATTCTCTGTGAACCGGAGCAGAAGGGTTGTAAAGCCGCGTGCGAGCTCCGCGGATTCAAGCCCCAATGTGTCAGCCTGCAAAGTCCTGCAAGCTTCGACTCACTCGCTGAAGGCAGCCATGGATCAGTGTTTGGACTTGAGCTTTAGGGCTCAAGGGCTGAAAAACTACGCAACAGTGCATGGAACTTTCTTTGACTTTGGTCGGATTGCCTGAGGCACCATAGAGCTGCTGTTATCCACTTGCCTGTGAGGCCGGCGACCCCTCTCATCGGCACCTGCTCCCGCAGCCAACGTGTTCAAACAATTTACAAGCGTGCAATGTCACCCTGATTGCTCGGACTCGACCGGGCTCACATGGTGCATGCGTGACAGTTATGGCCGCCGAATGGCCACCAGGCAAGGTCGGCAAGGTTGACGGCCAACATGGAGGCGACAAAGCCCTCTGGCGGATACTACAACGCTTGAGCAAAACGTCAGAGGCGAGCGGCTTCAGCCTTGGCACAGCCCATGAGAGAAAGCAAAATTTCAGACAACGTCTCGGGTCGTCCTTGCACACAGGCTCAGGCCTCGACAACCCGCAAAGAGAGAAGCCGAAGGATTTCAGATTTACGGAGAACTCACGGCGGCTACAGGAAGGAACTTTGATTTCCTGGCTAGTGAGATGCATCCGAAGATACTTGAGGGCACCTTGCCGTGCTGACCTTGTGAATGACACTGCAGAGTTCTCGTTTGGACCTACACTCTACACAGACTCCACACGATGTGACCAAGTGCCCTAGAAGCTGCCCGATGAAGCATCCGCTCACATGTTTTTTCGTTGCACAGCGGGGTCAGATGACTTCCTGGAGTGAGCTACACCTCGGCAGCTGTCGAGGGAGGCTCACACTTGGGAGGGCTGCGACTTTTGCGGAAAAATGGTCCGAGCTGCTGAATCTGACTTCTGTCAGGCAGGAGCTTCTCGAGGGGTGGAGGCATTCTGCTCACCTTGAGACGGGTAGAAGCAAACGAAAAAAATCTTCCCAGGCTGCACGGTTCGAGTCACTGAAGTCCGAAGAACCAGCCCCCCCGCCCCTGCATTCGTCCGAGAGGCTATCTGATGAGCCTTGGGGCAATCATGCAGCATTCAGAAACGATCCCGACAGTGGACTGAAATAGAGCTACAGAACATGGATTTGAACTTGTCAGACACCATCTAGGTGCGACCGCGGCAACTTCTGGGCGGAAGATCATCATCCTCGACACCTGATATCATCAGAGTACCACGGGAGGTGGCAGGGGGAGCTGTGCTTCGTTTGATCTTTCGAATAGTGTGTGCTTATCCACTGATGTCCTCCTAATCCTCTCGACTACCTTGACTTGATGCTGCAACTCCCGAAAAAGCTTTTTGCTGGAGTGGTGGATTCAATGGCTTCGGGCAGCATTTCGCCTCTCATGCTCGCCATGTTTCATTGCTGTGGAACGATACTGTCCTTTTACAGAGTCTTCAGGTACCCTACGCTTTAGAAGGTCTTGCTCATCTAGGGTGGGCACCAATTTCTTGTCAGACAAGACAATGCGAGGCTACTAGTAGCACGTGAGATGGATTGTTGAGCGTAGGGCTTAGGATATGCCAAGCTGCATACGACTCATGATGACCCCTTCCCCTCGAAACTAGCACCCCGCTCAAGGAAGCACGGCGATGCACCTTCAGGCACTCCCGGTGGTTGGAGAGGCTGTTGTTTGGGCAAAGGCATCGCCAACCTGAGGATGTTTGACAAAACCCACAGTCCCGGAGTCCCCTCCCAGTTCGGCAGCCCCTTGAACGACTGCCAAGCCGCTGCATTCCCGGCCTGACCGTGCTGACTGACGGTGGCACGAGCGGTACGCGCGGGCGGTCGCCACGCGTCATCACTGGTGGCGTCACTGGCTTGTCGAGCCTGCCGCTGGGTCGGGGAGGTGGTAAAGACGGCTGGGCTGGTGCGCCAGAGAGCGGAGGTGGTCCCAGTCCCAGGACACGATGCTCGCTCGGTGCTGGTGGCACGATGGGCTGCCTCGGTCGGTCTCCCTGCGGTATTGGCGGTGGCGGAGGCCGCGGCACATCAGTGGACTTCGCCTCGGTGCATAACATGAACAGGCTGGAGCAAGGGCAATGCTAGCTGAAAGCTTTTCGACTTAACCCCAACTTCTACGCCTGTCTGCAAGTCAAGGGACTGGTGGAATGGAAGCAAAGCTTGGGCGATGTGAGAGCTGATTCCACTCGTGGGGATCGTTCTCGCGGAGGGATGGTATTGGTGGGGGGCTTGGTCTGCCACTGTCGCTCCCACTCGTAATGCTCGGAGGCCGAGGTGGCGGCAAAGGCAGGGTGCTCTGCGCAGGTGCAGAGCGGCGGGGTGGGGGAGGTGGAGGTATTCCCTTGGCTTGTGTGGGGCTTGGTGGCCTGCAAAGGGCAAAGTCGCTGGCCCAATCAGAAAAGGCTTGGTCTACTCGCACGTCAATGCGCTCGGCATTCTCCAACATGGGTGGTGGGAGAGGTGGTGTTGTGGCCTTTAGGAGGCTAGGCCTTCGTTGTGACCATGGGGGTGCCGGAGGGTTGACATCTGCAATCGACGGACGCTTTGGAGGCGGTGGAGGAGGCGTCTTGGGCATGGCAGGAGCCTCTGCAACCGCATTCGGCACGCCGGACCCGATAATATCACTGAGTTCCTGCGCAAAGGATTGAAAATACTCCTCCTTCTCATCCGATTGCTTTGCCACGGGGAAATGTGGCCTTGGAATGCTTGGAGGTGTCCCTGCCACAGACTGGCCGAATCCAAAGGAGCTGCCACGGGGCAAATCTGGCTGCGAAGCAGACTGTGCCAAATCTCGTGCCCAATCCCAGAAGTGCTCCTGTGCGTCACGCTGGGAGTGTGGACCTGTCTGAATCTCCTCCGGCGGTTTCGCAGATGGCTCTTCCCAGGCTCGCGTGGGCCCGCTTGGTGGCTCGAAGGGCTGCACCCGAATCTTCGCCTTCTGCACTGATTCGGCCATCCACTTGCAAGAGGCTTTGGTATCGATGTTCACCTTCAGGTTCACGTTTCCAGCATACGCCTGCCAGGCGCATAACCCAATCACCATCACAAAGGCAATTGAGGCCACTGAAGTTCCAACCGCCATGCCCGTGTCTGCAGGTTCAGGCTCATCTATGGGGCGGGTGGTCGACGTCTCGGTCGAAGTGACTGAGACCGTCCGAGTCGTGCTGGAGGTCGCCGTTGCGAGCGGCACTGGCAGGTAGATGCCAGCATAAGCACCACCCAATGTTGTCGCGCGGCAGTCGACTGTAGTGGCTGTGTAGCTGGTAGGCAGGAACCAGGACGTGACGCTCGTCGACCAGCCTTGGTCGAGATGCATTGCCTCCGGGCAGCCACAATGTAACGTCCGCTATCGTCCATTCACGTGGACATGTGGGGGCTTGCTGAGATACTACAACACAGGACTGACCTCATGTGCCTCCCTTGCGACTACCTCCTTCGATCATTCGCGAGTGTGTTTTCCTATCTCGAGCGCATGCCTTCTACCAGTACAGTTGAGCACTTATATAAGGCCAAGGATGTGGTTTTGCCTTGGCTTGCCATGATTGCCGCAGCCATCGACGGAAACCCAACAGGGCCCGCGATATCCCGAGATGGGGTAGCCGAACTGATCCCACAACTTCCTCGCCCACTACTTTTGGTCTTGGGAATCTAAACAACCATCGGTCGGAGGGCCAAGAGCATCCCTGCTGGCGCCTCCTTCTGACATATCCTGTGACCCATGAGGATGTCATGAGGTGCCAGGAAATTTACATGCAGCCCCACTCCCCGCCTGCCCGAGCGGGTCCAACCTTGCACAGACCGCCTCGAAGGCGTAGCCCTCTGGAGCAGCACCCGGATCTGGAGCCGAGGGCCTCCCCAGCTTTTTCAAGAATTTCTGAGGCTGCCGGGCAGCAAAGACACATCCATTTTTTGGCCAAGCTACAGATGCAAAGTCATCGCGATGGGTTCAGCCAGGTTCGGGACAGTCACGATGGTGTCGCATTGCTTCAGTTCCAACACTTTCACCGTCGCAGTCGCTGGAACGTAGAGGTTGATACCCACACCTTCAGAGCAACGGCACTGGCCCTTGCCTTCAATAGCTTCAGTCTTGTAAAGATGATGGTCGATCAAGGGACTTCCCTTGCAGCATCTTGCAGCTGAGACGCTAGTATTGAGATATCCGAATGGGTTGCCTCAGGTGAACGCGTCGCTTCAAGACTTCGAGTCGACAGGGCCAAGGTTGCAGCACATGCTACCAAGCTGCTCTGAACCCAATCAGTCTGCTGGACGGCTAAAGTGGTGCACCCACTTTGAAGACGTCGGCCACTGAGGCCACTCAAAGCGTTGCCAGGTATCTGATGCAGTCACATGCCAGGAGAAGATCGGAAACTAGTAACAGGCAGCCCACCTGCAAGCCCTCGCCAGCAATACCATTTTCAACAGCTGCGCTGATGTCCTCCTTCTGGACGTTGATTTCCTAGAAGGGAGTTCGAAGGCCGCTTGCCCGCTTGCGTGCAGTGTTTCTCCAGCTGAGTCCGAGCTGCGAGGCCCTTGCCCGTGTCATCGACGGAGCTCAGCGTGGTGGAGCCACCCACCGGCGTCGTCGCCAGGGCCGCGCTGCCCAATTGCGAGGTCTGGGGAAAGCACAGGCCATGGGAAATGCATGGCAACGCCATGGATGAGAACACGGCTCTTGAGTCAAAGCAAGCGAGAGCGAGACGTTGCCGAGGCGAGGGCCATGACTTCAAGCTTTGCGGCACGGCTGGCAGCCGCGGCTTCTGCTTGTCCCGTCTGCACTGCGGCATAGCTGTCTCCCACAGCAGAGATGGAGCTCAGCAAGGCGTTGCCAGCAGCCTCATCCACGCCTGCAGCCGGGGCGTAAGCTCACGCGTAAACGCGCCCTCACTCGCAATTGTCGCGCTCGGGGCCTGTTGCGCCCAGCGCCGCCTCGGTCAGTGCAGAAAAAGAGTCAGCTCGGCGCAAAATCACAGACAGCAGAGATTCCTGAAAGCACAAGACACGAAAACTTCGTCAATGAGGTCAAAGGAGAATGAAACCAGACGGAGCTAAATCGCGCTTGAGCTGCTTCAAGCACGTTGGTGAGTGCATCGGAAGCTTGGTCGGCCGATGCAGCATCAGCAGTCGCACTGCCATTGGTTCCCGAGGACTTTAAGACTTCAGTCACCACGCTGCCGAATTTCTGAAGGCCTCACGTGCACAAGGCATGTGAGACAGCTGCAGCAATGTGCAGGTTCAAGATTGGCAGCGTTGGTCGAGGCCCTGGCTGCCAGCGTCTGTTTCTACAATGTCCGAGGCCACCTTCAGCGCCTGCAATCGGAACCAAGCATGGCCAAGGTACTGCTGAACGTATTCAAACACCTCGTGCTTCCAGCAACTTGCACAACTGCTCTCTGCCTCAAACTTCTTCGCGTTGGCTTCCGCCTGGCCAGCCGTGTCGTTCGTGGCCTCAGCATGATGCACCAGCATAATTGCACTTTTGCCGTGAACGTCGGCTCGAAAGCCAAGCGGCCAGTGGTACCGAGGTCAAGGAGTCCAGCATTCCCAAAATTACCCCAGGATCTGCACTCTGCAATGCTGCGTCTATCGCAGCACTGGCTTCGGCCGCGCTGAGGCCGCCTTTCAGGGATCAGAATCGCCAGTCTTAAAGACCGTGTACCTCGTAACAGAAGTGACAGCAGGCTCGGCATCTCAGCACCTGCTGGAACTTCTACCACGGGCCCTGGTGCGTAAGCAACTGAAATTGCTCCTTCACAGGATGACAAGCTCACCTCGTCTATGCAAAGACGAAAAAGCCCTGGATGATGCCCACTCCTAAGGGGTCTCTGGCAACCGCTGCGGTGAAGTAAACACCGGCGGCGACCTGCAGAAGGCTGCAAGGAGCGTCTCTCCACCCTTCTTTACCTGCAGTCTCCACTCTCGTCGAATCTTTGGCTAGCAGCAGAAACGTTCCATGGAGGAGCGTTTGCGGAGATATTCTTCAGGAAAGTTCCACCCATCTTGGTCCAAAAGCTTGGACTGGAAGCATCCGTGAAATCCTCGGACAGTAGCCCGCATGTCGAGCGTTCACAAGGGCACCAAGGGTCGCAGCACGGGAAACTGCCTTCGGCCAAGGCACCACGGAAGGATGTGAGAACGTCCCATTGACTGTGATGCCTGTGCGGCTTCTGTCAACGCATTCGAGACTTTGCATATCAAAACAGGCTCGCCTCCAGATCCATCGGCAGAAACTGTGCCGTTCCTTGGCAAGTATAGGGACTGAGATGGACAGCTCTCTGCCGGCAGACAGCGACGACTGCATACGACTTGCCGCTTCGTCTCTGTTCGTAGGGGAAAATGTAGAACGCGTACGTGTTGTTCTCCAATGCTTCGTCGACCCAACCTGTGGTTGATCCTGCGAAAGCAGTGGTGACGGCAAAGCCAGACTGCGGCGTCATGGTCACCACGCCATCCAAAGGCGGATAATCCGCAATAAACCTCCCACAGATTCATGGAGAATATGGAATGACACTCTTGCACACACACACACACACCCACCCCGTAGGCCTCCATTATTAAAGTGATTTAATGGCTGCAGGCCGAGGAGCCGCTGGGACTTTGCGACTTTGGCTCCCAGCCCTTCAGCTTCGTCTACATCTGCAGGATTTTGAAGCTTGAGATCTGCCAAGGTTTCCTCACTTCAACGGCTGGGTACAAATTAGCTACGACCATGTGCCATATACTTCTTGCTGCTAGCTGCTACTGGTAACTCCTGTTCTGCCAACTTCCAAGCATTCTTCTTTTTGCACCGAGTGTGCTGGCGCCTCGTCTGGCTTTCCGGAGGATTCGGGGGGCATCCTGTCTTGTGCCTACAACAGGAAGGGGGGACCGACCAGATTTGCGGCCTTTGCCATGACTGATAGGAAGCAGGGAGCCATATGTCCGCCCGCGCGGAGCACGGGAAACTCAATCAATTCTCTTTACTCGTAATGCAAGACCCCCGTTTAATTTCGGAGGAGCTTCCTTCTATGTCGCGAATTTCCATACGGCTAGTTGCGCCCAGTTACATAGGGCCGCGGATCGAAAAATTGAGGTGGACTTGCATTGGTTTCCGGTTGGCGCAGATAGATGGACCGAATAATCCGCTAAGGGATTCAATGCAATCGCGTTTGGAAATATCGACCCCAAAAAAGAAATAAATTTGCCTCAATAACATGTTGTGCAATCGCCTCACGGCCAAAAGTCAGAGATGCTTGGAGCACGCTGGGCCGTTTAGCTAAGTCCCTGAGCATGCTTAGCATGCTTGACTTGACTGGGCTTGTCTTTCTCTGCAACGGCTTTCGACATCCCTCAAAAAGGCGCTCTCCTTCTGGTCATCCCGGGGCTCTCGACTCTCTTGCCCTCTCTCACCTTGCACACCGCAAGAGGCATTGAGTGCAGCTGTCCAGGCATGTTGCAGCGGAGCTTCTGGGTCAGACGTTTGCATCAAGGCGTACTCGTACTGAAGGCCTCACACAATCGTGCTATTCAACATGCAAAGAAGGACCTCAGGTGCTCGTCTTGAGCTCAGGCGCCCTTGACGAGGAGTTGCCCACGGAAGTCATTCGTCCTCACTGTCAGCGTTCCCCCGTCTGGCAGGAGCTCTGTCTCCAGAAAGGCGACGATTTTTGATGGGATGCGGGCTTCCTTAGCTGTGTGGCACGCATGACCCACTGTAATGTGCCACCAATCGATGCTTTGCCTAACGCCAGCCAGCTTCAAAGGAACCCGAAGGTCCACACATGGTCATCGCTGCTGTTCGTTTGCACATCATGGTCAGCCAAGTGGCGACCAGTGCCAAGGTCCACCCACATGACTGCGGCGGGCTACAACCTCTGGCCAGCGCAAATGTGGGGCAGGTCTCGAAAATTGCACGCGGCATCCAACGTTTGTTTTTGTAGATCAAACTCATAGTGAGGAAGCTGGAGGGAAGCAAAGGGTAGCTCTGGGATACCGGGTTGCCAGCTGTCTCGGAAGATGATGCAATCTCTGCGGCTGCAGCTATAAAAAAAAAGCTTCTCTCTAGTTGCAGTGGCCTTCGATGCCAGAAACCGTCGCGGAGGCAGGGCCAAGCAAGTGGCCAACTTGGGTCGACACTGCCTGGCACAGCGGTTGGCAACATGGCAGGTGTCAACATGCGACCCCAAAAATCGTAGTATGTAGCTTGCCGCGGGCCTGCTCTGGAAGCCATGGGACGTCGAAGTCCGTTCGGGGCAAGGATGGCGTGGCCTTGCAGAGAAAAATCTTTTGCTGAACTAGCCTTGGGTTTGGGCGAGCTTCACCACAGCCACAAAGGCAATCCATGCACACACTCTAATGCTGACTCAGGTACAGTCGAGCTCGTCGTGGTAAACGTCCTTGGTTAGACGAGTGGCAAAACTCAAAGCCAACAGTCGGAGAGCCGCCTGAGACAAGGCTACATACCTAAATAATTACCTGTACTATTTTGGGGGGTTCCATACTATATATTATAGTATAATATACGAAACCCTAAGAGCCACAGTACCAACCCACGCCAGTCAGAGACGGCCTGCAAGCCTTCCGATCTCGCCTGCAGCCGCAAACCTTCTATGCATTTCTCTCGCTGAGCTTCGTGGCGGTACTGGAGCTGCTTGTGAAGGTGGTGCTTGTGGTTGATGTGTTGGTGGCACTTGTCGAGGTGGTGCCTGAAGCAAGAGGCAGGAACAGATCGAAAACAACAGCAAGCTTTGCTACTGTCGTCTGCCGCGGCACTTGTGGAAGTGGCTGACGTCGAAGTGCTTGTTGATGAAGTACTCGATGTGCTGGAGGATGTGCTACTTGTAGACGTGCTTGATGTGCTGGACGCAGTCGTGCTTGTAGACGATGTGCTGCTTGAACTGCTGCTGGTGCTTGTGCTGGACGTTGAAGTTGTAGAACTTGATGATGTCGTTGAGCTGGAAGTTGAGGTGCTGCTTGATGTTGTGCTCGACGACGTGGTAGAAGTGGTGGATGTCGAGGTGGTGCTGGAAGAAGAAGTCGTGGATGAGGTCGATGAGCTTGATGTGGACGTGCTCGTTGAGCTAGTTGTGCTAGTGCTAGTTGAGGATGACGTGCTAGTCGAAGTTGTGCTGCTCGAAGTTGATGTAGACGAGGACGTTGTGGATGTGGATGACGTAGTGGAGCTGGACGACGAGCTGGATGAACTAGTGGTGCTTGTGGTTGATGTGCTACTTGATGAAGATGTGCTAGTGGAAGTGGAAGAAGTTGACGTGGTTGTTGTGGACGACGAGGAAGAGGAAGAGGTAGAAGTGCTGCTGGATGTTGTGGTAGTCGTGCTGCTTGAGGTGCTTGTTGTGGATGTCGAAGTGGTAGATGAAGAAGAACTTGATGACGTGGAGGTGGAAGATGTACTGCTGGAGGAGGTGCTAGTAGAAGTGCTGCTTGTGGTGCTCGAAGTAGTGGAAGATGTAGAGGTAGAAGATGTGGAGCTTGACGTGCTGCTTGTAGACGAGGAGCTCGTGCTTGTTGTCGATGTGGTGCTGGACGAACTTGACGTCGATGATGACGACGTCGAAGACGTGGACGTTGAGGATGTCGATGTGGAAGACGTCGATGTTGAAGTGGAGGAGGTGGAAGACGTTGATGTGGAAGTGGTTGTCGTGGATGAAGTGGATGTCGAAGTGGTCGATGTAGAAGAAGTTGAGCTGGACGAACTTGAAGTGGAAGAAGTCGAGGAAGAGGAGCTTGATGTGGAGGACGTTGAAGTTGTAGATGTCGTCGTGCTGCTAGACGACGTCGATGTGCTGGTGCTTGTGGAGCTAGACGTTGACGTCGTGCTGCTACTGGTACTGCTGGTCGATGTTGATGTTGATGTCGTGCTGCTGGAGGATGTGGACGTGGAAGTCGTGCTGGACGAGCTGCTGGTGGTGCTTGATGTGCTTGAAGATGTGGAGGTGGAAGTTGTTGAGCTTGAAGTGGTGGAAGTAGACGAGCTACTTGTTGAGGAGGTGGTCGTTGATGTGGTGCTGGTAGATGACGTGCTCGTGCTCGAAGTTGAGCTACTGCTTGTTGAGGTTGATGTTGTTGAAGTTGTACTGCTGCTGGAGGAAGATGTTGAAGTGCTCGATGTGCTGGTGCTGGACGTGGTGGTTGAAGAAGTCGTTGTGCTCGTGCTGCTTGTAGTAGACGAAGATGTGGAGGAAGTTGTTGAAGAGGATGTGCTGCTCGACGTGGACGATGTCGTGCTGCTGCTGGTGGACGTCGATGTTGTGGAAGAGCTGCTTGTCGAAGTTGATGACGACGAGGTCGAGCTAGTTGTGGTCGATGTCGTCGATGTAGACGTGGTGCTTGAGGAACTTGTCGTGCTGCTGGATGTAGAAGTCGAAGAAGAAGATGTGCTTGTCGAGGATGTACTGGAACTCGTGGAAGATGTTGAAGAGGTGGATGTGGTTGAAGATGTGGAAGATGTTGAAGACGTGCTTGAAGTCGTTGACGTCGTGCTGCTGCTGCTGGTACTTGAAGTGCTTGATGTGGTCGAACTACTGCTGGTTGATGTCGTCGTCGAGCTCGACGTGGAGGATGTTGTGCTGGAAGTGCTGCTAGA